CCCCCCCCCGGTCCAGTTCCTTCACGCCGAATATCAGAAGCAAAGACTGATGCAGAGGTGATGGAGGTTGGATTGTGAAATACACATCTGTATCAGATCTCAAAGAACAACAGTTACAGTAAGTAACTGTTTTCTTCTTCTCATAGATAAAGTCATGTATTCCATGCAGGTGACTCACAAGCACTAACCGCTGGAGGTAGGGCTCGGAGTCTATTTAAACAAGGACTGCAGGATTGCCTTCCCAAAGTCTGCATCTGAGCAGAATGCAGTTGTAATGGCATAGTGGTTCGTAAATGTATGTACAGAGGACCAAGTGGCAGCCCTGCAAATGTCCAGAATGGGAACGTCACTTAGAAATGCAATCAGTGTTGCCTGGGCTCTCATAAAATGAGCTCGCACCCTGGGGAGGTCGGGGGGGAGGAGGCGTAGTTTAAGCTACTTCGTATGCAGGAAGTTATCCACCTGGAGATCATCTGGAAAGACTGCTCAACCCTTCATTCAGTTTGCACATGGACACAAACAGATGATGTGAGGAATGAAAGGGCTAAATCCTGTGTGGATAGAAAGCTAGATGTCGCCTGACATCCAACATGTGAAAATTCTGCTTCCTGGGGGTTAAATGCAGTGTAGGGGAAAACACTGGTAGATATGTGACTTGGTTCAAGTGAAATGTAAGCAAAAACTTAGGGTGCTGCTGCAGGGTCACTTTGTCTTTGGAAAACTTTGTGTAAAGAGGTTCTGCCATCAAGGCCTGCAATTTACATACTTCCCTTGCAGATGCTATTGCAAGCAGGAAAGCAATCTTCTGAGACAGAAGGGAGAGAGAGGCTCAAACAGAGGCTCAAGACAGACCTAAGTGAAGCACAGTGTACTCACAGTGCTGGTCTGTCACAACAAACTGGAGAAAAACCTCCTGCGACTGAGCAGAATTGCTATATGAAAATAAGCATCCTGAAGGTCCAGGGCAGCAAACCTGCTTTAAGGGAAGATAGTTGCTAGCGCAGGGGTCGGCAACCTTTCAGAAGTGGTGTGCCGGTCTTCATTTATTCACTCTAATTTAAGATTTCGCGTGCCACTAATACATTTTAACGTTTTTAGAAGGTCTCTTTCTATAAGTCTGTAATATATAACTAAACTATTGTTGTATGTAAAGTAAATAAGGTTTTTAAAATGTTTAAGAAGCTTCATTTAAAATTAAATTAAAATGCAGAGTCCCCCAGACCGGTGGCCAGGACCTGGGCAGTGTGAACACCACTGAAAATCAGCTTGTGTGCCGCCTTCAGCAAGCGTGCCATAGGTTGCCTACCCCTGTGCTAGAGTGCCCATCTGGAATCTCATATATCTGACTGTTGATGTCACAGAGGTCGAGAATAGGTCTCACCTTCCTTGGGTTTGGAAACAGGAAATACCGGGAGTAGAATCCATGACCCCAACAAAGTAGGAGAATCTTCTCTACAGCGCCTAAAACTAGTAAGGACTGAACCTATTTGAGAATCAGTATCTCGTAGAACCGGTCCCTGAAGAGGGATGTGGTAGGGGGTTGGAGAGGAGGGATGGAGAGGGACTGTGTAGCATAACCCGATATGATGGTATGTAGGACCCAGTTGTCCATGGTAGTTGAGTCCCAAACACTTCATAAACAAGCAAGCCTGTTCCCAAACAAGCTGGATGGGGAAGGAAAGGTCACCACTGATCACTACTCTGGACACAGAAGTCAAAATGGGTGCTTGCCAGATGCGGGGGGTGGGATAGAGGGGATTAGGCTGGCTGGGTGAACCCTGAATCAGAGGATCTCCTTATGGTATCTAAGGCTCTTCCTTGGGTAATCCCCCTGCATCACAGGAAAGGACGACTGGGAAAAAAAGCCCTGCAAGTGGTATTGCTGCTGCTGCTGCCTGTTATAGTGGTGTGTCTATATTGCTGGAGTACAAACTCCCAAGGAACGCAAAGTGGCCAGGGAATCCCTATTGGAGTCCTGTCTGAGAACAAAACCTGACCATCAAAAGTTAGGTCCTCAATGATCTGCTGCACGTTGGACGCAATGCTCGATTTCTGCAGCCATGAGGCTCATTCTGCAGCCTCATAGTTACAGCACAAGCCATAATTCTGGCCAAGGCCTCCAGCACGTCCAGAGCTGACTGCAGTGAAGTCTTGGCTACCAAACAGTCTTCTGTAACAAACGCCCTGAACTACTCTCTGGAGGCTTCTGGTAACTTGGCCGCAAATTTAGACATGGCAGCTCAATTTACAAAATCATTCTTAGAGAGTAGCGCCTGTTGGTTTGCAATGGACATCCAGCTACGGGAAGTGAGAAGGAACTGACAGGGGTCGGGCTGGTGCTACTCTTATATGGCCAGGGGAGAGATTAAGGCCACAAGACGCAAATGCTGCCCCTATGGGTACTGTTAGGTAAAGATTTCTGGCTCCGGTGCACTGGGTGCGCACACACCTATGTGGAA